CGTCAGGCAAACCACGGTAGGTATTGTCCAGCAAGCTCATGGAAGTTTTGCCACAACATGCTTCGAAGCAGAAGGTTGTGATCGGCGTGGCACTACGTGTGGAAGCTTGTTGACTCGTGGCATTACCATAGATCATTTCACCTATGTATTCCATTATATAATGGATTGCATAACTTTCAAACACAGCCCCTTACCTTCATCCTAATGAATGACATGACAGCTACCATTATCCTTCCGCAATAACACTGAATGTTGGGTCCCTCCATCAGTTACCCATGACGCCCTCAAAACCATCTCCAACCCCCAATCTGCCTCACATAGATTGCTACAAATTATATCCAATGCCACCGTTCCTAATCATCACCATCCGACCTGGCCTGTTACTCGTAGGCTCCTTACTCAAGTAAGCAGAGGCCTGTATTCAGCTGTCATTGAGTGAAGGAATAAGAAAAGAAGTTGTTAAAAGTTGACAGCCAAGACCATGAGAACATTAGCACCTGTTGTCCCAGCTTATGACCATCAAATTGACCTTGTTCAAAGACACACTGATTTCTCATTTTCCATGTACACCAACACATTGCAGCCCACCATACCCACCATCTTTCTGTTTGTTCTTTAGAGGATATTATGGAGGGTGGAGCTGAGAAATTAGTAAATGCAGTGTGGCACAGGGGTGACGGGCTCCATAATAGCTGCAACCACTATTTCCACACTCTGTCAACATAGCAGCATGAGAATATGACATGATGAATTGTTTCTAGTGCGTCATTACAAAACGGGCAGCGTTGTTGATATGCTTGTAATGCAACATTCTTGTTCAATAATTGTTCCTTTGTGGGTAAAGCGTTCACGAACAGTCTCCATATGAAGATTTTAACTTTTGGTGGGATTTTAATCTTCCACACGACACATGTGAACCTTATCTGTTGGGTTCCTAGTGCCTGTGTTAGTAGAGCATTATATGCAGACCTTACGGTGAATACCCCAGTCCCGTCAAGCATCCCCTCCCATCGATCTGTCCTATCTTCCTTTAGAATTACAACCTCTAAGATTTCCCTTAGTTCCTTGACATAATCTGATTCCCAGGTGAACCATCATCTATATAATTATGCTCAAAAGACAGGATCCACTATATATTTTTCGTTTCCTACAGTAATACACTTGACAAATCTGGAAATATGTGTGAATTATCATCATGCACAGCTCAAATCCACCTTATCAAATATGTAGAGTTCTAAGATTAAAGCCAATCCGTTTCAACAAACAATTTCATGTACCCTTTTACATTGAACCATCGACAAAACTAATTAGTTTAAAGAACTGCCAAAAAATTGTTTTGCTTTGGTATCTGTATAGAGAAGTCCTCAAAAGAGAAAATCCAAGAACTCAATTCCTGATGAAGTTATTCATGTTAATGTTGCTATCCAGGTGTTGGATCCAAAATTTTAAATCATCATAAATGTCAAAAATATCATCAGCAGATTCAATAAATAAAATTAAAAGTACAAAATATAATATTTTTAAATATAATAATTTAATTTAAATGAGAATTATTATAATGTAATTTTGTCATTGTAGTAGAAGTATCTCGACATTAGTTTCCTATTTAAAAAAAAAAAATGATTTGTGTTGATTACATGACAATCTCATCATCGTATTCTTAGTATTAATTATTATATTATTCTCTGTTGTGGGTCAAAGTGATGAATAGCTAGAATGTTGTCATTCGCATTATTTTTTGTAAATTTTGTCCGTAATCTCTTGTTACAATTATTAGCATGATTACCACTTTAGTTTTCATTTCTTATTTGGCATGAGTGCATGACCCACAAAGGTTAGTGATATAATAATACACACATATAGAAAAGAGTTCCCATAACAGACCAGCCATGTTTGGCATCGCACATTAGATTCAGTTGTCTTTTTAATTATTATTATGAGGGAGATATTTATATTTTAGGATACTTTTATATCATATAATTTTAAATTATAAGAATTTTTTTTGTGTGCTTATAATTCAAAAGACTTTATTTTATGAAAAACAACGTGTCATGTCGCACTTTGATTCCTGCCCACTTTCCAACTATCGTCACTGACAAAGACACATATCATGAAATTCAGAGTTATTTTCTTCTGCAAGCTAATATATATTTAGGCATATTCTCACTAATTCTACACCAGCCATATTTTCTGTGTAATGAGACAAAAATGCATCCGAAATGATCAAGAGACGGACATATTAAAAATAAAAAATAAAAAAGATAATGAACTGTATGTATCATGCATTAATAGAGGAAGACTCCGGAAGAATACTTGTATTGGTTAGCTTTTTGGTTAAGATTGACTCTACCGTGGATATGTGGTTCAATTCAGAGGTTCAATTATACGCAACCTTTCTCATATGCTATACTATATGCTAGGAATTTGGATTAATATGGCCCCACCTTTCTCTCTTCTTTTGGTTAAGACATTATGAAGGAATTGAAAATAATCACTGAAAATCATGTTAAAGAGAATCACATTTAAAGTTAAGATGATTGACGCATTGCAATATTGCTCTCGTGAAGTTTGGTTTGGCGCAAGTGACATTCAATCATACAAATATTGTGAGGTGATACTTAATCCACTAGTAGTAGAGGCTTTTGCATGGGCAACTTCAACCATACACATGGCATCAGTTAATTAATACAAAAAAAAAAAAATACTTGTAATGATATATAAAAATTTTCATTAAAAATTAAAATTTTATAGGATGTCTATTTTACATTGAATCACATATGATCTATTTGTTATTATTTAAATTATAACAACTACTTTTTAGGGTTTAGTTACGATAAATAGGTATAAATACAAGTATTTAGATTTTATTTACATTAAATATTTATAAATAATAACAAATAGATTATATATATATATAT